AAGTAATCAGAAAATAAACCGTCCAACAACAGAAACTTCTTAGAAATTTAGCTGCAAAGAACGAAAAAAAAAATGGTTAAAACCTCATTTTGGTCCTTAAACTATTGTATGGATCCCCGATTTAGTCCTTAAACTAAAAAAATCCCTGATTTAGTCTATACTGTTTACAATTTTAACCCCGATTTGGTCCTTCCATTAAATATCTACCTATGTGTCTTGTTACTTGACAGGAAAAGGATGACATGTAAAAGCATTTTGACACCTAAGATGTACAACGTGGCAAAAAAATGAGATGGCCAGACATGACCTTAAAAAATTTCTTTTTCCCTTTTTTTTTTTTTTCTTTCTTTGTTTTTCTTTTTTCCCTGTCTTCTTCCTTTCCCTTTCCTTTTACTTTCTGCAAACCCTAACACCTCCTAATATTAAATCTGAGGATAACACAACAAATCAACAGATCAAACTCAATAGATCCTTCGATTCAACTACAGCTGGGTTGGAAACAGAACCCAGCGCTTGCAAGAATCTAAGGATAACACAATAGACAACAAATCTATAAATAGATCGAACTCAACAGATCCATCGACCCAACGGCTGTTGAGTTTGAAATAAAACCCAATAGACAACAGATCGATAAACAAATTGAACTCAACAGATCCATCGACCCAACAGTTGCTGGGTTCGAAACGGAACCTAGTGCCTACTGGGTTCGAAATCGAACCCATCAGCCTAGCACCTATAGGAACCCAAGGGCTGCTGGGTTTGATGCTGGGTTCGACTACAACAACCCAACGGTTGCCTTGCCTTCTTTATCTTCATCCACTTGCAGGAACCCAACGGGTGCCTTGCCTTCTTCATCTTCATCAATCAATTTCTCATCATCATCAAATAACAAAACCCAAATAAAGAAAACAAAATTTTTTATTTTTTATTTTTTGTCCCTGGGTTCAATGGAACCCAGGGCTGGGTCCCAAGGAACCTAGCGCTTGGGTTCCAGGGAACCTGCGCATGGATTCGATGGAACCTAGGGTTGGCTCCCAAGGAACCCAAGACCTGGGTTCAATGGAACCCAGGGTTGGGTCCCAAGGAACCCGTCGCCTGGGTTTCATCGAACCCAGGCATGCTGGGTTCCACAAAACCCAAGCATGCTCTGTTCCATCGAACCTAGCGC